GCCCTGCCCCGCCGCCCGCGTCCGCCCCCTGCAGCCGCGTCGCACGCCGAGGCGCAGCTGCAGCCGCCGACCGTGGCCATAACCCAGACGCAAGGGTCCTTCGCCTACCAGTGGACGCTCGATAAGACCGTCCAGGGCACGCCCACGGCCGCCAACGTGCGCATCACCAAGGGCGTCGTCAGCGACATCGCATACGTCCTCAAGTACACGCGGACCATCAACACTGCCTCCCAGGTGTTCAACTTCTCGGGCACCGTCACCGCGACCAACGGCGCCAACGCGGTCACCTTCAACACGATCACGACAAAGGTCACCGGCGGCCAGACGGCGGAGTTCCCGTCCACGTGCACGCCCCCGGCCGGCAGCCCCGTCGCGGCGGGCGGCCAGATCGTGTGCACCTTCACGACCGTCGCCTACACGGGCTACCCCCAGGCCGGCATGGTCACCGCGACTCTCGCGTTCACGGACACCGTCACCACGACGGCGGGCACCGTCACCGCTGACTCGCCGCGGTTCGCGTACGACACCGTGGTTGGGTCGCAGGCGACGGCCACCCTGGCCGACAAATTTGACCTGACGCCCTTGGACCGGCTGTACACCGGGTTCAACAACTTCCAGAGGACGACGGTGTGGAAGTACGCCGACCCGGCCACAGCTGTGCCGGAGACCGGCGTCACGGTGTCGGACTCTGACCAGAAGTCGTGAGCGGCCGGGCTTGTTTCGAGGAGGGGGCGGCCGCGGCGCGAGGGTATTGCAGCCATGGGTTTGTCGGCGGGACTGATGGATGGTGGCCGGCATTCCCGTGGCTGGGGCGTGCTGCGGAACGAAGCTGCTGCCACTGAAACCTGACCGGCCCTTCTGCGACGCCAACCCTCATCTGACCCCTGCTGCTGGCTCTTCATTATTTGACCCCCCTGCAAACCATGCCGCGACCGCAGTTACACCATTAAAGCGGGGAGCTTTGTCGTGTGCACCGACGCCAACGGGGTCGCCATCACCAACACGGCCACGCTGACGCCGGCGGGCGGCACCGCCATCACCAAGGTCGCCACCGCCAACATCGTCATCTTCGGCTGCGACGTGCCCCCCACCCTCAATTTCCAGGAGCTGCAGTCCTGGGGCGCCCAGACGTTCTCGTGGGCCCTGCAGTCGCGCGCGACAAGGTGCGCGTGGCGGCCCGGCGCGCCCCAGCGGCTGGGGCTGGGTGTGGGCTGGGTGTGGGCTAGAAACCAGTCTCTGGCTGTGGCGGACGTGGGGCGGCTGGGCGGTGGGTGACGGCGCACCGCTGGAAGCTAGGGCACCTGTTCGTTGTTCAAGCAGAAGTTTATTCACCATGAAGGAGCTGGTGCCACCACGCATCCTTTGTCCCCGCGCTTGTATATGCTTGCATGCGTGTGCTCGCGCGTGTGCGCTCCACGCGCGCACACACTCACACACACGCACACACAACCACAGACGCACACACACACTCTCTCTCTCGCGTATACACTCATATCCACCCCACTTAACCCCTTCAATCCAACCGACCCCAGGACGTCCTTCACCGTGGACCAGACCGCGGGCAGTGTGCCGGTGGAGTACAACCTCCAGGCCACAGCCACCCCCACCACTGGCGGTTGGGCGGTGTCCGGCGCCGTCTTTGTCGCCAATGCGCAGGTGAGACTCCTCCCTGCACTTCAAGCGCCGCACGCTCACTGCGACGCACGAGCAGCGCCTGCAGCAGCTTCCCTTTTACGACAGCAATCACTGCCTTGTTGACGACCCTGTCATTCGTGGCCAGCCACCTTTGCATGCACACCTGCCCTTGCGTTGCACGAGGCATCCCAAGCCCGGCTGCCGCCCGCACCAGCCCCCACCTCGGCTTCTTTTCCTGACTTGGTCTGTTTCCGGCGCCCGTTGCCCCCCCCCGCCCCCGCCAGGCCGGCATCATGAACATCGCGCGCCTGGTGGTGACCCTGTCCAGCGGCCAGCAGGTGATCCCCCAGTGCAGCCTCACGAGCCCCTACGTGTCGCCCGACGGCCTCGTGTGGGGCGGCACCAACGCCGGCGGGTCCATCACGACCCCAGGAATCGGCGGGTCTTTCGGCGTCGTCGGCACCGGCGTGACGGGCATCAACGGCGTCGGCATAGGGGTCGGCGTCGGCCTCGGCACGTTCACGCAGTTCATCCTGCCGGACTTTGCGAGCGCCACCTGCAGGTTCAACATCACGCTCACCCAGGTGGGGCGCCAACAACCTCATCTGGGGCGTGATTCTTTTTGCAGGCTCAGAACATTACAGCGGCTTGGCTGAGCATTTGAAGCTTTGACTTGACCTGGACAAAACTGACCAAACCCGCCCGTGCCACTGGCGCGCCCCACCCCTGGCCGCCTTGAGCGCTGGCGCAGCCGACACTTACGCAACGCCTGCCTGCACTTCACTCGCCCTCGAATGCCCGCCCACGCAGCAACCGAGCTCGACGCTGACGATCACCCCCCAGATCAACTGGGGCTTTGGGGGTCAGTACACCCTGGCCAACCAGCAGCTGCAGCAGACCGTCAGCTTTAGCCCGCCGCAGCAGTTCTTCCCGGTGCAGAACTGCATCTCCCTCACTGACGTGGTGCGCACGTTTTTTCAGACAAGTGCCTGCCCTCCATACAGATCTGCACGCTGTACCTGTCACTAGGTCGGGGGCGCTTCTGGCCCCTGCGTAGCTGCAGTCCCCGCCTGCATGCTGCTGCTACCTGGACTGATCCAGCGGCAGGCCTACTGGCCTCACTTTGACATCCCGTAGCCGCCCTGCAGCCGACACCAACAATCCCACTGCGCGGCGGCTGCCCATCATTCCCGACCTTCCTCCCACAACTAACCTTTCCCCCTCCCGCAACTCCTGATCACGTCCCATCGCTCACCCTCCTCCCTCAAACCCTGCACCCCTTCTCGGACACCACTCCTTCACCCCAGGTCCAGGCCGGCTCGCTGACCGGCTCCGTCGCCAACGGCGGCCCCAACCAGCAACAGGTCTGCGTCACTGGCCAGACGGCGCCCTTCCAGCAGCCGGCTGCGCTGGTGTACACAATGACGGTCACCATCAACCCCAGCACCACCCCAGACTGCACGCCCGGGAGCCAGAAGACCTACCCGGTGAGTGGAAAGGGGCATCGTGGGTCGGGAATGGCGCCGCGGAGGCAGGCGCCTTGACGCCCCCCTCTGATATGCCTGGGCCTCAGGCGGAGGGGGCCCTGGGTCCTGGCGGGTGTCCCTTGGGAGCAGCCGCGGGCGTCCCTTGGGAGGCCAGGTCGGCAGCGCGCAGAGGGCGGTGGACGCGCCCCCGGCCCTGCGGCCGTTTTGCGAGCCCCCAAGCCTCAAGAGGCTTCAGTGCAGCTCATTTGAGCGTAGGCACCCCTGTCAGCTGCCATTTCACCCGTTTCCCCTAATTTGCGCCCCTGCAGATCAGCAACTCTGTGACCGGCACCGTCATCGGCGGCGCGCCCGTCCAAGCCAAGGCCGACCCCGTCGACATCACAGTCAGGTGCCCCGCCGCAGCGGCGCCGACCACGCCGACCACGCCGGGCAGGCCGATCAACCCGGCGTCTGCGGGCGACGTGGACAACCTGAACGTGCAGGTCGGGCAGTTCCAGACGTTTGTTGGGGCCGAGTACGCCTGGGCAGTCACCAAGACAGCGGACAACGACACCCTTTCTCTAGCCATCGGGCAGCTGCCCAAGACGGTCACCTACACGCTGAGGGTGACCAAGGGCGCCGCGACCAACAAGAAGTTCTTCGTCTTTGGGAAGATCACCGTGAACAACCCCGGGAAGACCGCGGTCAACGTGTCCACCGTGTCGGTCACCGCGGGATCTGCCGCGGTGCCGGCCACGTGCCCGCCGGGGTCCATGTCGGTCGCGCCCGGGGTGCCGCTGGTGTGCACGTTCAACGTCACCTGGAACAACGGAGCGAACTCGGGCGCCCTCGGCGCTCGCGTGGACACACCCCAGGCCAGCTTCTACGGCCCGGCCGCCACCTTCGACTTCACCAACGCGGTGCAGGGCGGCACCAAGGGCGCCACCGCCGGCGTGTACGATGACGTCACCGCGGTCGCGCCCGCCGGCGCGACGGGTGTGCCCACCAAGTGGTGGCTGGCGGACGGCGGCTCGCCCCCGCCCAAGGCGGACGGCATCCCGCTGACGACGGAGGACTCCCGGGATTACGTGTACACCATGCAGGTGGGGGCGGCGTGACTGCATTTGGTACGGCGTTGTGTGGGCATGCTTGTGCGCGTTTGAGCGTCTCGGGTGTGCGTTGTGTGTGTGTGTGTGTGTGTGTGTGTGTGTGTGTGTGTGTGTGTGTGTGTGTGTGTGTGTCACGCATGCATGCGTGCTCCATTTTCTCTGCGACTCCGTGTTTGTCTGAAAAGGCTATCACATTTTTCTTCTGTGGGTTTTCTTGCTGCCACACACACCAGCAGGCCTCGGAATCCAAGCCCGCCTGCCCATCGCATGCGGTATGACCACTTTCACTTACTCACCAACCTCTCCCTTGTGTGGGATTGTTCTCGCCGCAGCTCGGGCCCTTTGCAGACAAGGGTTCGTGCGGAATCTACAAGGTCACCAACGTGGCCACCGTGGTGCCCAGTGACGGCACCACTGTCACCGCCACAAAGACAGTGACACTTTCCGTCACCGGTTGCAAGACAACCGACTACCAGGGCGTAGCCAGCCAGGGGCCACTCGGCGTCACTGTGGACAGCGTCAACACCGCGAACCTCACCGGGAACACCTGGCGGCTGTCCGCCGTGGCCACCCCCGCAAACCTTACGCTTGCGTCGGGCCAGGGCGGGTCGGCGCAGTTCACTGTGAACTTCATCAAGGTGCCTGGCATGCAGCACGAGGTGTCTGGGACCGTGACGCTCACCAACAGCAACCCCCAGACGGACGTGGTGGTTCGGGGCGTCACAGTGGCGGTCGAGGGTGACGTGGCCAAGAGCGTCGATGCTGTCTGCGGCACTAGTGGCAACTCATTCAAGGTGATTTGTGTGTGCGCGCGTGTGGGTGTGAGTGTGTGTGGATATGTTGATGTGTGTGCGTGTGTGCGTGTGTGTGTGTGTGTGTGTGTGTGTGTGTGTGTGTGTGTGTGCGCGTGCGCGTGTGTACGTGCCTGCGCGCATGTGTGCGTGAGTTGCCAGAGGGTGTGGGTGTGCGTGGACTAGAAAGGGTACTGGAAAGAGAGCCTTTCGAAGCTGAATGCTGCCCCGCTTGTTTCTGGCATTGTGCTACTCGTTACCTCCTGGCGTGCGCCCGCAATCGCTGTCCCGCGCTGCGCCCACTTGCCGTCCCTTGGCCTCTCCCCCTCACCGCACCCCCCCTTGCCTCCCGTTCCATCCACGCCCCGGCCCGCCAGCTCGCTGGCGGCGCGACGCAGCAGTGCACGTTCATGGCCACCCTGGACCTGGGCGGCGGCGGCAACATCATCGGCAGCGTCACGGACGCCGCGGGCGTGGTCACCTCCAGCCAGCTCACGCCCTTTGACTTCAGGAAGGCAGATGTAAAGGACTCCAGCACCGCCCCCTCCTGCGCCCAGGCCTCCACGGTGGGTGTTTTTTGACCGGGCTCGCCGCGAGTGCAGGTGTCACGGCCGCGGTGCAGCCCTGCTGCCTGCCGGCACGGCAGGCAGCCGCCAGCGTGGGGGGGGGGAGGGGCAGGGAGAGGCGCAGCCTCACCACCCCTAGACGCCCCCTCTCGCACGCGCCGCCTGATGCCTCCCTAACCGCTTCTAGGGAGGCCCTTGGTGGCCCCGCTGTAACGTGGCCCTGGGTGCCTGAGCCGGCGCAGGCCTCCCATTCGGTTGCGTGGCCGGCTCAATACAGGCGCCCCGCTGCACCACCCCACCCAAACCCGTCCATCCAACAGCACTCTATTCGGCCGCACCTCACAATCGCCTTCGACCGCCACAACCTCCACCTGTAAAATAGGGCGTCGTGGTCGGCATCACCGAGTGGCAGGCCGGCGGCACCGTCGCCCCCGCGGCCAAGCAGGAGCGCATATGCGAGTCGAAGACGGTCACGGTCCCCGCGACCATCACCGCCCCCAAGGACGGCCAGTGCGGCACGTTCGACTTCCTGCACATCTCGCGCCTGCAGCCGCTCGCCGCCGGCGCGGCCGTGCAGAGCGTCGCGACGGCGCTGCCCGTCATGATCACGTGCGGCGCCGCGGCGGCGGCCGCGGCGGCGCCAACAGTGCGGGCGGCGACGCCTGATGTAGAGGTGCAGGAGGTTTACACCTGGACGGCCAAGCTGACCTCTAATGCATCGACTGCGCTGTCTTTCAAGCAGGGCGAGGCCGTCAAGGTCGCGTTTGCGGCTGAGACGTCGCGCTCGCCCGCGCAGCGCAGCGCGGTGGTGTCGGGGACGGTGGTGCTGGAGGCGCCGGCCGCGGCGCCGCTGGACATTCAGAGTGCCACGGTGAGGCCCGGGGGGGGGGGGAACGACAGGGAGCATGGGACTGCGGCCTCTTGCGTGACTGGGCCGTCAACACCCGGTTGCCTCGGCGCTTATCCCCAGATCCCTCACCCTGACCAGCCAGACAGCCGCCATGGCCATCGCACGCCTTGCCCTCCTTCAAAATCTCGCATGCTGCCCTCCCCCCCTTTCCGACAAACACATCAAAACCGCACGCACAACCCTGCCACCAGGTGGCGGTGTACGACGGCTCCGGCCAGCTGATCTCCGCCCCCCTTGACTGCGGCGCCGGCGCTAAGCCCGGCGGCCCCGTCACCCTCAAGGGCAAGGGCCAGCCGGTGACCTGCTCCTACAATGCGTCGGGCGTCGGCACCGCGGACGGCGCCGTACTGCCTGTCGTCATCGCCGCGGGCGCGGCGGCGCCCGCGGTGGCCAACCCCGTGCCCTACAAGGCGTCGAGCGCCCCCAAGAATATTGTCGGCGACTGCGCGGACCTGGGCAGCAGCCTCCTGATGACGTCACTCGCGGACGGCAAGCGCGCCGCATGGCAGCCGGCGTTCGCGGGCCAGGCGCTGAGCAGCGGCTCGGACTGCGACGGGGGGGACCTCCAGCGGTTCTCGCTCTGGTTTGGCGCGAATGCCCAGGGAGTGCCGCAGCCCACGCCCTGCGGCGCATACAAGTTCAAGGGGACGCTCGCGCTCGCGCCGACCAACGGGCAGGCCGTCGTGAACGACTCGGAGTTCACCGCGAACGTCGCGTGCCGGCGGCGGCGGCTGCGCGAGCTGCTCGGGGAGCCGTCGGCGCCCGGGCGGCGGTAAGGCTCGGGCGTGCACGCACGCACAGGAGGGGCCGCGCCGCTGCTCACCCCGCTGCGCCGTGCGTACGTGGCGCGCCGCGCGGCTGGTGGCGACGCAGGCGGCGCTGTCGGTTGCCCTCCCCATCCAACCAAAACACTTCATCTGTGACTGGCGGCGGCCGGCGCTCCCAGGGCATTGTCAGCGGCTTGCTGACGCAGGTCGGTGCTGGGCCGTGGCCGCTTTTAAACATTCACCCCCAGCCATTCAAACACGTGCGATGACATCTGCCAATGAGCATGGACAGTCTCGGGTGCTTTGGGGCATGTGAACTCCGGCGCAAGGCAGGGCAGCGCCGCGCGCCGGCCCTCATCCTCCCTCGCCACCGCGGCCGCCCTGCACCGGAGCTGGCGACCATTTTCGGTTGTCAGGCCGCCTCTGAGCCGCCTGCGCGTCCGCTCCCGCCGCAACCGAGCGCGAGCGGCCAGGTCGTGCCGCGTCCCGCAACTGCCCTGCACCAATCTTGCAGCACGCCTCCCTGAACATCTGTCTTGGCAAGGGCCAGGCGGCTCGGCGGGCTTCGTGTTACCCCCAGCGGCGGCTGCCGCCAACCGCAGACTGGTCAAGACCGTTGCAGCCGTATCGCAGGCGTGCCTAACGCCACACTTCATTATGTCCGTCTTTTGTGACTCGGATCTGCGCATGGCAGGAGAGACGCGCGCCGACCGACGGCATGCCACCCTTGGAGCCCTGGCCATGCCGCCCGCGCGTCGTTGCTCATGCATCCCCGGAGACCGCCCGCACACGGCCTCCCAAAAGTTTTATTTAAGACCCATGCTTGACGCCTCAATCCATGCCAGGCGTGCCCAGCGCGCCTGTACTGCAGCTCTTGGCACGCCTGCCAGTGTCCTCGGCTGCAGCCGCCAGCTTTGGCTGCGCGGCGGCGTCGCGCCCGCTATTCGACCCCGCTGCGGCGCGCGGCCTGCTGTGCCGCTGTCCTCACTGCATCAAGTGAGTGCGCAGCGCGCGGCTGTCGCTGCTGCCGGGCGCAGCAACAAGGGCGCAGGCGGGGCAACGGCAGCGGCTGTCCGTCGCCATGCCTGGGGGCGCACCACGCTCTCGTGGACGCCATGAGTCATGGCACGGCACAGCACAGAATCCTGAGCTTTTGCAGCGGGTTGCTGGCGAATGCATTTCTGATCAGAATGCATTCACAATAAGAATGCACACACGTTTCCGCTGCCTGCGCGGGCTGTGCGGCAAACGCGCCAGCGTGCTGCCCAGCCCGGTGATGGCGCCCGCCGTATGCCTCCGGCCTGGTGTGCGCTTATGTTGATGGCTGACCTGGATGCGTCGGTCTTTGAAACGAACGGCATCAACTAGAAACACACACATGCCATCAAATCACAACCGCCTCCTGCTCTGCCGCTCTCGTCGCGCTTAGTGCACGGGCGGCTCCAGGCTCCCCCCCCCTCCCCGCGCACACCCGACCTTGCTGCCACGGCTGGCGCGGCCCCGCGCTCTGGCTGCCGCTCACGCCTGCACCACGCGGCTCGATCCTGGCCGGCCGCTGGAGGCAGTACTCCCCCGCTCTTGAAGGTCATTGTGTGTGGTGCACCAGTGTTCAGTGTGTAAATCGATGTAAGCTCGCCTGAATCATATTATTCGTAAAGCACTATTACCAGTCAGCTGGGTGCGGCACGCTCTGGGTGCAAGGCGCGGCGCTTACGCCGCGACGGCAGCGCCTGGGTGCGTGGGGGGGCAGGGGGTGGGATGGCACGCCTGCTGTGCAGCTGGGGCGAAGCTGTTGGATGGCAGCTGCAAGGGCTGAAACCCCATCCCTTGGTCGCAACAGAGATGAATGCGTGCCACAGGGTTGAAGGCAGGCAAGGCCAGCGGCGTTCGCGCGATGCGTCCGCTCCGCTGACGCGGCCGCCACAGGGTGGGCAGCCCAACCAGCCACCAAAGCCCACAAGATCTCCACTACAGGGAGACAGGTCCAACCTGGGACCTGTAGCGCCGCCGCGCGCCTCATGCGTCCTCACCGCTCTCCTCCATCTGCCTCGCCGCCGCCGTTGGCCCCGCCTCGGCCGCGGCGGCCGCCGCGAGCAGCGCCGCGACAGCGGCAGGGTTTGACAGGTCAGCGGCCGCCAGCCGCCGCGCCAGCGCCCGGCTCCGCTCGTCCCGCTCCCGCAGCGGCGGCAGCGCCAGCCGCGCGACGGGCGCGCCGCGGCGCGCGGCAGCGACGACGGCTGCGGCGCGCCGCAGCAGCGCATCGGGGACGCCGCACATCCGCGCGCAGTGCAGCCCGAAGCTCGGCGCTGAGTGCCCGGGCGCCAGCTTGTACAAGAACACGGGCTCCTGCTGCCCTGCCGCCGCCCCTGACGCCCGGCCCTGCGGCCCATGCTGCCGCGGACGGTCACTGCCGCCGCCGCTGCCGCCGCCAACCTCGTCATCGCCGCCCTCGATCAGCACCCTCATCTCGTGGAACGCGATCTGGGGCGAGGGCGCCATAACCTCGGGCCGCGCGAGCTCGTGGAAGTGGGTGCAAGCCAGCAGCCGCGACGGGCGCGGCGCGAGGCCCGCAAAGTGGGAGAGCATGGAGGACAGCAGGCCGACGCCGTCCGAGGTTAGCGTGCCCTTGCCGAACTCGTCGATGACCACGACGGAGCGTTGGGTGGCGCGGTGCAGCATGGCCACGACCTGGGGGCGACGAGGGTTGGAGGGCGCATGGATTATCCAGGGTACTAAGGGGTGATTGGAGGGAACGGGTGTGTGTGGGCAAGAGAGGGGGACGCACCCGTGGTCGATGCAGCTGTCAGGTGCCAGTGGCTCCTCAATCAACGGATCCAATGGCCGATGGAACGGCGGCAACAGGAAAGCTTAAGCCCTGAGAGCCCGGCAGTCTCCCGCCCGCCGCACAGAGCAGAGGGGCCAATTGGCATCGCTGCCGCAGACATTGCCAGTGTCGCCCGGCCCCCCTCCAGTACCAAAGGGCCGCAGCGCAGCGGCGCCGTCAGGCGCTCGCGCGCGCGGGGTTTCGCGGGCCCACCTGCGCCAGGTCAGCGCAGAAGCTGCTCTGGTGCAGTGCCAGCTGCTCTTGGCTGAGGATGCGCGTGAGGATGCGGTCGCAGAGGCCCACAGTGGCGGAGGCTGCGGGGACAAAGGAGCCGACGTGGGCCATGTACACGATGAGCGCCACCTGGCGGTTGCAGGGGTGGGGGTGGGGGCGGGTTGGGAT